CTCCTCCCTCCTCCTCCTCCTCCTCCCTCCTCCCCCTCCTCATCCCATCCTCTCCTCCTCCCTATCCTCTCGTCCTCCTCCCCTGGCACTGACTGCAGGCGTGTCCTGGGGTGAACAGCACTGCGGTCGTGGCTTGTCTCCTCCTCGGGGGGTAGCGGCGAGGGGGGGCAGTCAGCTGCAATATCAGGGGAGGGACAGGCTCCGGGGGCGGGGCGCATCGGTCCCCAAACGCCCACTCATCGCCGATAATGGGGTCCCCAATCGCCCACTCATCGCCGAGAAGGGGCCCGTACTCCACGCCGCCCAGGGGCGCAGGGATTCGCTGTGGTGGGGGCATACAACCGATCTATCGGCGGTGCATCGCCGATCTATCGGCGACGTATCGCCGATTCCAGCTCGATGTTTCCACCCCTCTGAACCGCTCCCCCCGAACATGTCGGCCCGCCAGAGGAGGGAATCGCGAAGGCATCGGGGACATCGGAGGCGTCTGCTTAGGGGCGGCCACGGTCAAGGGAGGAAGAGCCACCCCGACCCCGACAGCTGGCGTTTACGAAACGGACCTGGGCGTTTTTTCAACAGCACTGCCCTGTTCGATTCCTTCCATGGGTGCGTTTACTAAACGGCTTCGCGTGTCGGGGTGCTGATTATTGCAGCGGGCTTTCTGGTCTGTATTCGAGGGGGGCGATGACCAACGGTGGGGAGGAGATATCATGATCGGGGCTACAATTTCTCGCCGTGGTTCCCGTGGCTCCCTCTTCTTATTGCAGTGCGTCCCTTGGCCCCCCTCCTCCTCCTCTTCCTCATCCTCATCCTCCTCTCCTGTCTCTCCTCTCCTCTCCTCTCCTCTCCTCTCCTCTTCTTTTCTCTTCTCTCCTCCCTCTCTCCTTCTCCTCCTCATCCTCCTCCTCCTCCTCCGCCTCCTCCCCTCCCCTCCTCCTCCACCTCCTCCTCCTCCCCTCCCTTCCTCCTCCTCCTCCTCCTTCCTCATTCTCTCCCGTCCTCCTCTCCTCCCCTCCTTCTCTCCCCTCCCACCCCTCCCCTCCCATCCCCTTCTTCTTTTCCTCTCCTCCTCCTCTCCCCCTCCTCCCCCTTTCTCCTCTTCCTCTCCTCCTCCTCCTCCAACTTCTTCCCGGCTCCTCTCCTCCTCCTCCCCCTCCCTCCTCCTCCTCCCTCCTCCTCTCCCCCTCCCCCCCTCCTCTCTCCTCCTCCTCCTCCTCCTCCTCTCCTCCTCCTCCTCCTCCTCCTCCTCCTCCTCCTCCGCGCACGTGCCTGGGGCCACGATTGATTTGCGACCCCCCCGCGCGGACGACCCCCCTCCTGGACTCCTCCAGGGTACTGCAGGGGGAGGAGGAGGAGGAGGAGGAGGAGGAGGAGGAGGAGGAGGAGGAGGAGGAGGAGGAGGAGGGAGATGGCCGATGAGACGTGCAGCGCACTCCGCTTTGTATGTGCACACAGCCCGTCGCTCCCTCGATGGCGACCTCCACCTCTCCCCCGCCTCTCCGTGGACCGTGGGCCCCGCCTACGCTTGCACATCAGGGCCCATTCACATGCTTGTCCAGGCGATTTGGTCCTCGTGGATCCCTCGGGAATCGATTGTTCGGTTGATGTTCTCTTCTGAGGCCGCTTTCATGGCCGACCCCTCCAAAAGCGATTGGCCCCTGATCAAAGGTCCGATCTCGGCTGCCGTCGCCAGCTGCCGTCGCATAGGTTGGAGGCTCGGACCACGAGTGTGCATGCTTTTCACTCAGGACGGTATAAGATTGATCTTACTAGTATGTGCCCTCGCTTTGTGATGCACGTTGCTCGCCTCGCGATCGAGGATTGGCTGATGGATCGTGCCCACCAGAGCTGCCACTACATGTCGAGCCTCTCACATGGGCCGTACTTGTCACCCATCCGCAAGCTGTGCAATGGAGCGTGCGGGCCTGACTGGAACATCCAGCATCAGGCCAGTCTCCGAGCGATTGCAGCGAATGGTATCTGGGATCAGGCTCGCAAGTACAAGCACGGTCTGACGACCGATCCGTCGTGCCCCCTGTGTGGCTGTTGGCATGGCATCCTCGCCGCCTGGATTGCGGGTGAGTGCTCGGCCACCTGGCAGTATGTGCGGGACTATGACCTCCCCCCTTCTGTCCGCGATGGCTTCCGTGAGCGCCCCGACTGGGCCCTTCGGAGGCACGGCCTTGTCCCCGACCTTCGGCCCTGGGTGATCGGTCCTCCTCCTCCCTACTCGTCCGCTGGCCCATGCGTCCGCTGGGCGGCCATTTCGAAGGCGAGGCCTTCGGCGACGGTTCGTGCGTGTCGCTCGTACAGGGCGACATGCGTCTCCTACGCGCGGTGTGTCGTGCAGGTCGACGACAGCGGGGGCCCCGTGGCGTCCCTGTCCGGCCTGTTGCCTGGCCCGCACCAAGCGTCGGACCTGGCCGAAGCCTATGGCCGGCCCATGTATCTCACGCGCGCTGTGCTGGGCCCCTTTCGCTACCATTCGGACTGCGATTGGGTGGCCTCGAGCTTCAGCGTGGCCGTTTCGAGACCACGGGCGCCATGTGCGAGGGCGCTGGCGTGCGGTCTCAGATATGGGATCGGGTGGACGACCTTTGGGGGGGAAGTGCGGAAGGTGAAAGGCCACGCCCGCCGCCGTCACGATGACAAGCAGGAGCTGAGTGCTGTCGCGAGGTGGGGGAACCGCCACGCTGATGCTGGCGCCCGCGTGGGCGCCCCCCTCAATCCCACGGATGCCGAGGCCAGCCAGCGCGTGCAGCGCTCCTGTAAGCTGGTCACCATCGTGGCCAAGTTCCTCGCCAGGACAATGCAGGCTGTCGGCCCCAAGTCGCAGCAGGCGCCGCGCCACGGACAGCTGCGGCGGGCCAAGCGACGGGGGCCGACGCCAGCCCTCGCGGCGGACACGGAGCCGCCCCCCGATGCCCACTTGCCCGCGCTGTCCCCCACGGGCTTCAGGTGCGCCAGGTGCTCCCGCGTCGCTCGGCCACGGGACACTTTCATCCCAGCCGTGTGCGCCCCTGGAGCGGGCCACCGCGTCTGGCACGTGGGCCAGTTCGTCTTCTGCGCCCGCTGTGGTGCGCACTCCAGCGAGATTGCACAATTCCTGGCGCTCCCTTGCCACGGGGGGGTGCCCCCCAAGATGCGCGCTCGTTTAGACCGTCTCTGGGAGGGCCTGCGCCCTCGTACTGGGCAGCCGCTGCTGTCGTCTGTGCAGGGACAGCTAAGGCCTCGCACATTCGGCGAATATGTCCCCGACGCCACATTCAGGGGCCGGGTCGTGGTCGAGGACGATTGCGCTGAGTTGGGCTAGCCTCCTGTCCCTTCCTTTGCGGCACTCCTTTGAGGGATGCATCCGAGGCTTTACTTCTCAGGCTCTCGCCTGAGTCTGTCTGCTTAGCCAGCCCTGCTTGCACGCTTTCAGCCGCGCCTGGACGAACTCCTCCTCCATCTCCTCCTTCTTCTTTTTCTTCTCCTCCTCCTCCTCCTCCTCCTCCTCCTCCTCCTCCTCCTCCTCCCCCCTCTTCAGCGCATCCCCGCAAGGCGCAGGCCCTGGAAGAGAACACCTCCAGGCTCGCCCTGGCATTCCAAGCGATGGAGAGCCTGGAGAGGACCCTCCAGGCGCGCTGGGGGGGGGGGCGCCGCGGCCACTCGTAGGTGCCGATGGGCAACCCGAGGAGGAGGAAGAGGACGAGAAAGAGGAGGAAATGGAGGAGGAGGAGGAGGAGGAGGAGGAAGAGGAGGAGGAGGAGGAGGAGGAGGAGGGAAGTTGGAGGAGGGGAAGGAGGCGAGGGAGGAGGGGAGGAGGAGGAGGAGGAGGAGGGAGGAGGAGGAAAGAGGAGGAGGAGGAGGTGGAGCAGGAAAAGAAAGAGGAGGGGCGGAGGAGAACGAGTTGGAGGTGGAGAGAAGGATATGAGGAGGGGAGGAGGAAAGGAGAAGGAGTAGGAGGAGGAGGAGGAGGAGGAGGAGGAGGAGGAGGAGTGAGGAGGAGGCGGAGGAGGAGGAGGAGGAGGAGGAGCAGGAGGAGAGAAGGATGACGATGGAGGAGGAGGAGGAGGAGGCGGCGGAGGAGGAGCAGGAGGATAGGAGGAGGAACGAACGAACCGTATGGTGCTATCCTGAATTTGCTGCCTGGTAGTGCACTTGGGTCGACCATTGGAACCGACGATGTCGGGACGAGCCCGCCCAAACAAGACATGAGCTTACGGGGCCCTGTCTACTGCCTGTGAGGACCACGTCGTGATGCCAGCTCTCGAGCGCTGGTCGACTCCCAACCCAGTGCTCTGAGCTCACCGAGAAGCTCCGTGCTCGCGGCCCTTCTGAGACGTTCAGGGGGGGAGGCTGTGGAGGCGGAGGTGGGTTTGGGCGTCTTGGCACGGAGGTATTGTGCAGTGAGGGGGTGGGAGCAAGGGTGGAGGGAGGACTACCCGCGAAGGCATCGGCAGTGAGCGGGGACGAGCCGGGGATCGCAATTACGGGGGTCAGCGTGGGGTCTAGTACTACGCTTGGGGGATGTGGGGTGGGCTCATTGTCCGCGGCGTCCGCTCCCCTCTCGCGGGGAGTCTCTCCCTACATGCTTCCACGCCGAACGGCGGCTGGTTTCGGTAGCCGCAGCACAGCAGTCTCCCGACGTCATTGTGCATCCGAGTTCTCGTCCGTACAGTGCCGTCTTTAATACATGCTCCGCATGCGGATCATGTATAAAACATGCAGGGAGTGTTAAACACAACGATGAGTTCATGCATAAACGTTTTCATACGTTAGCCATGGATTGAAATCCAATATGTTAAAAAAAATCCAATGTATTAGAAACTGCCCTGTATCTGTCTCGGGCACTGCCGAGGCGGTCCGAGCAACTTTGTCGGGCCCCGTCGGCACGCTCGTCCTGGGCCTCGAACGCTGGCTGGGGCGGGAGCCCTCGGCGGCTCCACACATCGCAGTGCGCACTGGGGCCGACGGCACCGCAGCTGGCGACGGGATGCGGTCTAGATCTCCTCGACGGCCGCGGGCTTCGTGTGGAGCAGCCCCGCCATGTGCGACACTGGTGCCATGCCAGTCCTGATCTCGCCGCCCAGCTGATCCAGGCGCTCCGCCATCAGCTCCGAGGCCGCCGACTTTCTTACTACCACCATGGCGCGCGTGCCTATGTAGGTCGACGCCACTGTCACGAACGGAAGCCTCATCTCGCATTTGTCCAGTGTGAGGTCCTGGATCTCGCTTTCTGCTTTCTCAGGTTGACTTGATTTGCCCGCCCGAATCCGTCGCCCTCAGTCTCCAGTCCCTCGGTGATCCCGACCAGGGCCGCGCAGCTGATCATGCCGTTCTTCTTCATCTCGTCGTGTGGCTTCCCCTCCGCGCCTAGCTTCTGCATGGTGGTCATCCACGCGGGCACCCTGTTCTTTGCCTTGATGGGCTGAAGTGCCACTGGGGTCACGACCATCGTCAGCAGCGTGGAGTCTGGCTGGCGCTGTCTGATCCCGAGGTTCAGCGGCACATTCACCATGACTTGGGACGAGCAGCTGGACCTTGATCGGTATCTCGTCTATGCCTGCGGAGGCGCTTTCGTCCAGCATCTTCCTGTCCCTGGCTACGTTGTCTCGCCCTCCTTGTCCTCTGCCTTTCTGCTTTTTGGTGCCTCCTGCCGAGCGGTCCGCCGTCACCCCTCTTCGCGTTCGCGTCGCCGTTTTCCACGTCCCTCGGCGCAGGTACTGCTTGCTTGGAGCATCGAAGTGGGAGTCAGGGAACGGCTGTGGGAGGTGGCTGGCTAGGTGATCCTCGAAGCGCTCCGTTGAGTCTCATGTCCGCAGACAGCATGGGCATCGGGCGATGGGGATGGGGACGACGTCATAGTCCAGCGGCGGCCGGCCTACCTGGCACCCACCATAGTGATACGTGTTCGTGATATGTCTGAGGCCAGTGTCTCTTTCTTCAATCAAGGACCTACAGGCTACGCGCTGGTTTGCCATAGTTAAAACAGGGCTGGGATCGGGATAAATCGCTCCAGAGCGTTCCGGAGCGCTCTCAGAGCGTTCCGAAACGCTCTGGAGCGGCCGCGGCGCCCAATACATCCTCCAAACCCGCCGATTCTCAGAGACTTCGAGTTATCCCGATCCGAGTTTGTCCCGACCTTCGCGTCGTTTTGATAGTGAGCGTGGACAGGAACCCCCTGCTCCCGTGCTGACCCCCGAAGGCGTGCAGTTGGTGTGCGCGGAGCAATCGTCTGTTTATTACAGCGGCGGCCGCAGGCACGGCCGCCCTCACCGTCCAGGCAGCACACGTCGTCGCCCTCAGCGGCTTCAGCAGCTTCGGCCACGGCCTCCACCTCGGCGGCGGGCGAGGGGGGGAAGCGAGAGGGAGGAGGCCTTCTCAGAAGGCGGCGGGGCTTCCCATATAAGCCCTCCGGCCTTCTGAGAAGTTTTCAGTGTCTTCTCGGAAAGCCCAGACACTTCTCAGGAGGCCGGGGGATTTCCGAGCTTTCCGAGAAGGCCCGCCCCTTCTCATTTCTCCCCCTTGCTCGCGGCCGACCATCGGTGCCGGCAGCCTGAGCAGCCACTCCGCCCTCAGCTCGGACATGCCAGTCGCGATGAGCTGCTCCCTCGCCGCCTCGTTGATGCGAAGCACTGTCCGCGCGTCAGTGCAGTCCTCCTCATCCTCTGGCGTCTTCCAGAGCTCGTCTTGGCTGGATAATCCTGATGTGCTCTGAGTCCTCGAAATCGAAGAGGAAAAACTATATAAACATACACTTTTGGCGCTCCGCGCGGATTTCTTGGATCTGCGTTGGGCCCCCCTGGCAGCGCCTCTGGCGCCGCCCCTGGCGCGCTCCGCGCTCCAGGGGGGGGAGTCCAGCGAAGGTCCAAGATATCCGCGCGGAGCGCCAAACGTTGCTGTCCATGCCGTTTTTTTTCTTCTAGAAGAGCTGCTCGGCCCACGGGTTGGTCGTAGCTGTCGAGGGTTGTTCGGCCGCGTCTGGGTCCATAGACTAAACAACCGCACTTTGGGCTCCTCGTATGTCATCGTGCCGAATGCCGCCGCCGGTTGTCGCACGTGCCCGTCAGGGTCACGAGCCACCAGTTGCCATCCGCGTAGGCGCAGTATTCTGAGCTCCAGCCAGACCGGCGGGAGTCGCAGTGAGTGCCATATCAGTTCCCTCGATGGCATCTTGATCTCGGTTCCATCAGCTTCTTCAGTTCGCTTCGCCACTCCGCCAAGCAGGAACCTCCCGTACTTCCTGCACTCGGCCTCTAGGCGGTCCATTTGCGCGGTGGTCAGGACAAGAACTGGGATGCCAGAGAGCGCTGAGTCGACGACGATGCTGCGGAAGACTCTGCGCTTGAGGGTCCGTGATTTGCATGCGTGCCAGAACTTCCTCATATGGACCCATTCTCTCTTGATCGCCTGACATCTCGAGGACACCTCTGAATGATCCACACGTATGGAAGACCGTGCCCAGGAAGGGGGACGGGTGTGTGACAAAGCCGTGGCCGTCGGTGTACATGTGTCTGTAGAATATTGCCTGGTCCCACGAATCTCGGTTTGATTCCTTTCTTGGCAGCGCTCTGTGCGATCCCCAGTTTGGTCAGCTCCTTGTTGCGCGCACTCCCCCATGTCGTCGGGGTGGGCCACCTTGCACGTCTTGTTCACGTCGTCGGCGTATACCTGCAGCGAGAGGTCCACCAGCTCCGTTGAGACGGGGTCACTCGCGTACAACTCGTGGGGCCCGACCTCGTGGATCGCGTCGGTCCAGTTCGCGATGGAGATCTGGGGTGCCTCTTGGTGGAGGGTCGCACGAACGCGTCGCCCATGTAGCAGACCACCGCGTTCTTGAAGACGGTGGCCTTGTTGGGGGCGTCCACAAGAAAGCAGGCGTAGTGGTACCTCTTCTTCAGGATGTCGCACACGTCGTGCTTGTAGATTTTCTCCATCGCCTTGTCGAGGGCCTCGTGGTTCACTGATGCGAAGGCGTTTTGCATGTCTTAATTGGTGCCACTGCGTGATACCTTCGCCTTCTTGATCCTCCAGTTCAGCGCGGCCGTCACCCGTGTGGCTCTTGATCTCAATCTCTGTGGGAGGTATCCGTAGTCGCAGTGGGGGACTTCCCTCTGAGTCTTGACCTCAGTCTTGGCCCACACCGGTCCGAAGGCGCACCGACCATGTAGAAGTCGCATCGCTGCCGTCCCTGCTTCGCCGCTGTGCTTGGGGGCCTGGTGTGTGTACGACCTGTTCTAGTCCGTGACGAGCCGTCGTTGCTGTCTTATCCGATCCACTACTTCCAATATTGAGTATCTCGCAATCCCGCCAGCAGGCGTCGGAGGAGGTGTTCCAAGTCCCGCTGACGTCGATGTCGGCGTCGATCTCTCAGCAAGCAGAATCGCAAGTGCCTCTGCAGGTGCTTGCCACGGGGAAGCGGCACACCTGGTAGCACTCCTCAGTCCTTTCGCGATGCGGCTGTAGTCGTCGATGGGCCTGGGGATGTATGTCGTTGTCGTCGCCTTTCTTGTTGTCGTCGTCGTCGTCGTCGTCGTCGTCGTCGTCGTTGCCAGCGTGCCGTCTTCGTCGACGCTGTCTTCCGTCGCTCGGCGTCGGCGTCGTCGTCGTCGTCGTTTGCGGCTGCGGCGGCGGCGGCGGTGGCGGTGGCGGCGTCGGCGTCGGCATCAGCCTGGGCGTCGGCGTCGCTGTCGTCCCCCCCACATCCCATCTGGGGGGGAGGCTGTGGAACCATGTGACCCATCCCATCTGGTTGGGGGAGCCTGTGAACGTTCGACCCAGGATCATATATATATATATATATATATTATATATATATATATATATATATATATTCCTCTTCCTATATTTTTACAAGCCCGGGCGGCCGCAAAACCCCGCACCCCCCCCCCCCCCCCAAACCGGACTCCTGGGATCCTGGGACTTTGGGACCCTCCGGACGCCCATTGAAGCGGTCCCGAGTGCCTCAAGAGCGCTCCAAGACAGGCACAAAGCGCTCCAAGACGCCAAAGATAGCCCCAAGACAGCCTCAGGAGCCCCCAAGACGCCCCAAGCGGCCCCAAAGAAGCCCCCAAGACGGCCCCGGGAGGCCGAAATGGTCAATTTTCCAATGTGTTTTTCGATGTTTTCTGCTTTCTCGCCATTTTAGCTTTCCGACGCTCCAAGACAGAACTAGAGGCCCTCAAGAGCGCCCCAAGATGGCCCGGGGGGCCCCCAAAACGGCCCCAACACGGCCCCAAGACGGCTCTGGAGCGCCCCGAAACAGCCCAAGAGGCGCCCAAGAAGGCCCAAGAGGGCCCCGAGAAAGCTTCAAACGAGCCCCCACAGGGCGATCAAAAGTTCAAACATCTAACTTTCCGCCCCAAGTGGGCCCCAGGAGGCCCCAGGAGGGCCCCAAGAGGCCCCAAGAGGCTTCCAAAGGCCCCGAGGACTCCCAAAAAGAACCCACGAGGCCCCAAAATGGCTCTCCAAAAGGCAGCCAAAACGGCCCCCCAAGAGGCTTCAAAACTGCTGAATCGCCCCACTTGACCGCCACCTCCGGAACGGCTTCGCTGCGCTGCTCCGTTGTTTGCCAGACAGTGGCATCCCACGCAAAACGCCAAAATGCTTGAAATCCCGGGTTCGCAACCACATTCCCGGGAAATCGGCTGCGAACCCGGGATTCGGCACATTTCCCCGGAATTCGGTAGATGTCCTTAGCATTTCCAGGATACGGTACGTTGCCTGCATGCTTGCTGCCTTATGCCCTATCGCATCCCAGAATAATCGTTCCATGGAGGTTTCACGAGGGCCCTTCCAAGTCATTAAGGAAACATTGTTTTCCACACGTGTTCGCACACATGCATCCGTAGCCGTTGGCTTACATTTTTAAGCTGTCGCATACGGCACATCCTCGATGTCTGTATTCGCTTGCTTCGATTGTGGCGAGACCCTGCCTGCAGAATCATTCTCCACAACACAACTTCAGCAGTCCAATCGGGCTTGCAAGTCGTGTGCCAGTCGACGGGAAACACAGTCACGGTCAGCCCCCCAACACAAAAACAATCAATGCACTCGTTGCGGGGACATGCACGATCGAACTCACTTCAGCCCTTGCCAGCTGCACCGATCCACTCGGACGTGCAATGCGTGCGCCACTGACGGCCGTCCGACGGAGAGCTCTGGGACAGGACCCACTTCGACGCGAGGCACCTCAAAGCACGCAGCACTACGCGGGTTTGCAATTCCTGCGCCTCGCCCACTGGTAGTACTTCCACGCTCACAGACTGCAAGTCCCTATCGCTGGGGCTCCGAGACTGCATTTGTAGCCACTGCGGTGTCGCCCGGTTCTCTTCGGAGTGCGCGGGTTTCTGCTGTCAGTTCGGAAAGCACGCAATCGACTTCACGAAGTACTTTGCGGAACCTGGACCAAACCTCCTCCAGGTATACCGACGCGACGGCTTCAACGCCCACTCCCGCGCATACAACAACCTGTTCGGACTCGCCGTGCACGATACCCAGTCCAGCAGCGCGGAGCGGGAAACACACTTCTCCCCGCACAAGCCGTCTTTCATGAGAATCCACGGCACCATGCACCGAAAAACGTGGACCGCCGAAGGAGCCAATGCGGTTCAGTACATTGTCGTGGACCAGCAACTCCGCACGCAGACTGCAGACCGTTTGCAATTCAATCCACAAATTGTGCGTGCTCTGGAACGCCACGTCCTCCACGGGAACCCGTGCATGACGGCGATTCAGAAACTGACCGCCCCCACCTCGACGCGCTGCCCCGACAGAGTTCTGCAGCTCGACTGGGACGAGGGCATCCAAGAAGTGGCTGCCATACTCGACTCCGCCGGCGGCGCTCGCACGTCTCCTCGATCGGTGTTCTTCCGCCTACAGAAGTCCGAGCAGTACGATTACATCCCTCCCCTGAGCGAGCTCTACGAACCACTGTCCTACCCTTTGTGGTACCCCCGCGGTGGCAGAGGCTGGGCTCCAGACTTGAACACGCCAGAGCACAACAAGATCACGCAGATGTGGTGGTACCGTCAGCAGGCGCTGCGGCTACCACACATGCATGTGTCAGGGCGGCTCTTCAATGAGTGGGCGATCAACATGTTCTGCCGGATGGAGGACGAGCGCTTGCAACACGTGAAGGCACTGCAGCGGGCGTCCATAGCGACACGCTCCCAGCTTTGCGAGCTCCTGGCTAACCGGCCCCCCGCTGAATCTGCTGGGATCGCTACGCCGCAGAAGCACTACCTCCCATCCACAGTGCAAGGGTCGCCGCGCCACCTTCGGCGGCTCCGGATTGACGCGCTGGAGACAGCTCGCCGTCTGGGCGCCCCGACGTGGTTCATCATTCTCACAACGAACCCCCATTGGCCGGAGATTGAACGGGAGCTCCACACGGGCCAGACCCACGCAGACCGACCAGACATAGTTGTCCGCGTGTTCCACGCCCGCCTGCAGCTCATCCTCAAATTCCTCCAGCACGAGTTCAGCGGGACTACGAAGTACATCATGCGAGTGATCGAGAACCAGAAAAGAGGCTTGCCCCACGCGCACATCGTCATTGGATCAGAGAGCCCCCCCGCCAGCGCCGAAGAAGTCGACGCATACATTTCGTGTGAGCTTCCTCGTGCGAGCGGTCCGCTTCGCGACCTCGTCCTGCGCCACATGGTGCACAAGTGCAACCGCGGCTGCCACCCCCTCGACCCTTCCGACCCGTGCAACAAAGGTTGCCCCTGGCCTTTCCGGCCCACTACCGAGTTTGACGGGCGCGGGTACCCCTTACACAAACGCCGGGAATGTGGCGGGCATTGTCCGAACTGCAGTTCTGGCCGCGCGGCGTTCGGTGGTCATGCACTCTGCTGCAACCAACTCATCGTGGAATACAACGCGAAGCTATTGATTCTGTGGGACGGGCACGCGAATGTGAAATTCGCAGGGCACGTCAATTTGTTCGAGTACCTCTACAAGTACCTCTTCAAAGGGCCCGACTACACTCTGTACGACATGCCCCCTGCAGACCGATCCGACGACGAGATTGCAGACTGGCTCCGCGGCCGATACCTGTGCGCGACAGAGTGCATGTGGCGAATATTCGGCTACGACACTTACACGCGGACCCCCACTGTCGTGTGTCTCCCTGTCCACCTCCCCGGGGAAGACTGGGTGTCCTACAGCGACGGCTCCGAGCAACGCGCGTTCGACGCCACCTTCTCCGCCCTACTGCGGTACTTCGCGCGCCCGGCAGGGCCCGTATTCGACGGATTGCTCTACGCGGAGTATTTCGAGCAATTCCAGACGGCCAAGACGTGTCATACCTCTTTAAACGACCCGTCCATGCTCAGAGCCGCAGGAGACCCGGACGTCGACGGCAGTGTCTGGACTGACCTGGCGCCCTGCGCCCAGCGGAACTACGTGTACCGTCGCATGCGTGGCCAGCCACCGCTGTGCCGATTGGAGATGAAATTCCCCCAGCAGAAAGAAGTGTTCTACCTTCGCCACATGCTCTTGCACTACCCCAAGCGGTCGTTCGAAGACTGCCGGTCTCATCTGGGTCGGTCCTGCGCGACTTTCGAACAGGCCATGCTCGCGACCGGCCGTTTCACCAACAACACGGAGGCGCACGACACCATGCAAGAGCTCATTGACCTACGTTACACTGGGCACCAGCTTCGTTTCGTGTTTGTTCTCCTGCTCGACCAAGACTGCGCGCCGTGCGCTTTCTACAAGCGCTTCGCTGTAGCTCTCCAGAAGGACTTCCTCGATCGAGGCATGTCCCCTGCGGCCGCGCAATTGTCCTTGGCCTCGGCATTGCTCAACCTGTGGGTTCAAGCGGGCCACGACAAGTCCAAGTTCCCGCTGCCTGACCTCTTGCGACACATGGCAGAACTGCAGGACCGGCCCGCTCTGCCCGAGGCAGAATCCCGTCGTTTGCGGCTCCTGGTGGAAGGCTCCGCAGAATCCAAACGACTAGCAGACGAGATCCTCTCGCAGTTCGCGGTTGGGGCCGACGTTTTCTTCTTTGTCCACGGTCGCGCTGGCACCGGGAAGTCCACCCTCGCCAACTATCTCACGCGCGCTGCCGAGTCCACGCAGCACGCGGTGCTCAACGTGGCCACTACTGGCCAGGCCGCTCTCCAACTGGCCCACGGCGCTACTGCCCACTCCACGTTCGGCATCCCCACGACAGATGACGAATACCTCACTTCTACTGTGACGCCCAACACTGCGAAAGCCCGCATGCTGGCACAAACGAAGCTCCTGCAATGGGACGAATGGCCCATGGCCAAGAGGGCTTCGTGGGACTGCGCGGTGCAGCTGCTGCAGCGCCTGCGAGCTGACCTATCCGACGTGTACGTCCCGAAGGTCGTGGTTTGCTACGGCGACTTCCGTCAAATCCCGCCTGTGGTGAAGTACTGCACGCGCGCAGAAATTGTCCAGCACTGCGTTCGCGCGTCCCCAACGTGGGCCCGCTTCCGCGTGCGCCACCTGCACCGTGCCCACCGAACCGCCGCCGACGCCAAGTTCACGGAATGGCTGGAGACCATTGGCAACGGCACGTGCCCCGCTCCTCACACCTGGAACGGGCGCGCTGGCTACGTGGCATTATCTGGCCTCCCGATGGTGGACTCTGAGCAGGAGGCAGTCGACTTCGCATTCCCCACCTTGCATGACCCCCATCGCTGCTCCAAAGCCAAGATCGTGGCCACGACGAACGACAAGGTGGACCACTTCAACGCCCTCATCCTCAACAGGCTCGTCATGGACCACGGGCTTTCTGACCATTCCCACTACAGCGCTGACAGTGTCGAGGTCGACGCCAACTCCGTATTGGATGATTCCATGACCACCGAGTTCCTGAATACCCAATCCCACCTGGGCGTCCCCCCGCACCGCTTGCGGCTGGTCCGCGGAGGCCTCTACGAGCTCATGCGCAACCTCAACAGCAAGGAACGCTTGATGAATCACACGCCCGTTATTCTGAAAGACGTTCATCGGTTTCACGTTGTGATTGCCACGCTCGACCAGCGCGAGTACCCTATTCCGCGCATCATCTTCCAGTGGGCTCTCGGTCGGGGTGCCTGCGCTGTGCTGAGGCGACAGCTCCCCCTGCGCCCCGCGCACGCCTCCACGTTCAATGGGGCGCAGGGCGCGACGCTCGAGAGATGCGCCGTGGATGCGCGGGCAGACCCCTTCGCCCACGGCCACCTGTACGTTGCTCTCGGTCGCGTGTCTCACCGGATGGATTTGCGAATCCCATCTTCTCCGGACCGGTGCACGCCTCAAGGCGAGCCTCTCATCCGGAATGTGGTGTGGAAAGAGCTGCTCCTGCCCCATGGCCCAGCTCGCAGCAGCGGCGGCCCGCTTGCGGGCGCGGAGCTTCCCATGAAACGCCCGGCCGCCGCCCAGCGCGGCGCGCGCAAGCGACCGGCGCGCAGCTAGCTGGCGCTGCGCGCCCAGGCACCCTTTCTGGCTATGAGTTTCAAAGTGTAAGCTTAGCCTCCGTTAGTGCTTGCTCGCAACCTTTGTGCCTGCATCTGCCTGTCGCTCTCGCGAGCGGAAAACCGCTCCAATCGGCCGCCATCTCATAGACGGCTTCGCCGCGCTGCCCCGCCGTCTCCCCCGCAGCGGGTTCCCGCCCAAACCACCAAAATGCTTAGAATCCCGGGTTCGCAACCAAATTCCCCGGATATCGGTTGCGAACCCGGGATTCGGTGCATTTCCTACGAATTCGGGTGCTTTCGCGCACGCCGCTGCTCACCGCTGCAGTTTCTCGGCTCCAAAGCGGCGCCCAGCTTGCAAAGTGTGAGTTTGCCGCAGTGTTCGTCGGTGGCCGCCCCCCGCCCTGCCCAAGACTTCGAAGCGATGCCGGCGCGCAGCGGCAACGCGGTCGTCGTGGACCCCGCCGCCCCGCAGCCTGCGGCCCAAGCAGCCCCGGGGGCGCGCACCAACGGCACGCTCTACACCGTTGACGTGGGCATCCAGATGATTGGGGTCAAAATCGCTGGCAAGGCGGTGCGCGACGCCGGCGTGCGGTTCACCCTCGCCGACGCGGCGTCCTTGCAGCCCGGTCAGCCGCGCCTGGCGCAGCGCCACGCTTTGTCTACGGCGCGTGGCCCGCCAAACCGCTCTGCTCCCCCCCAGGCCGAAACGTCGCCGTCAAATCGAAAGACGCCCGCCCCCACCTAAACACGCATATGATTATACTTCGGATTTTCTCCCCCCCTCCCAAGCCCCAGGTGACCCAGCGCGCTCGGGAGGAGCTCGCCCTGCCGGAGAAGCCGCGCAACGTGGAGTACATGAACCGCGGCCTCATGCCGCCTCAGAGCACCGCGAACCCCTACCAGGGCCGCACGTGGACCTACTGCATCGACGTGGTGCCCACCACGTCCGGGGCCGTCAAGGCGGCCATTGCGCACGGCGCAGACCACGCCGCTTTCATCATGAAGCACGCCTTCTTCGAGGCCGACCTGTCCGTGCCCGCGTCGCCCACGGCGGCGGCCTGGAGCGCGACGGCATCCCTGCTCGGGCAGCGCGTCAAGGTGCACCGCGCTGGCACGCGCGCCGACGGGGGCGACTGGGCGGTGTCCGACCTCATCAGGTTCCGCTTCCGTCTGGACCCAGCGATGCCGCCGAACGTGCGCAAGGTGGTGGACGCCATGGTGCAGAAGTATTCTGCCTACATCACGGTGGGCCCCTTCGACTGGCAGGGCGGCCCTCAGGCGCTCGCGGCTTCGGCCCCCAGGAAGCGCCCGGCGGCGGCTGGCGGTGAGCCCGCGGTTCGCAAGCGCCCCGCGCGCCGTTGAGGCGCGGCCGCTGGCGAGTACCCCTTTTCCGCTCAGCCGCGCGCGCCCACGTGGCGGCGCGCGCCAAGGCCGGGCACGTTTTTTAATATGACCCCGCAGACGGTGCGGGTGCTTTCCGCTTCTTCTCTCCTCGGCCCCTGGCGCCCGCGTCGCGGCATGCCCGTAGGCCACGAGAGCCGTTTGCCGGGGCGTCCCCCGCCCCGCGCGGAACCCGCCCAGCATTCTGTCGGTCTGACATGTGCTATCGCAGCCCGTCCATTGAGCCGTATCGACGTCGCTCTCAGCAGCAAAACATTCCCGTCCTCCGCGAGCCTCGCGAGCCTCCCCCTGGGGCCTCGCCGCGTACGCCCCGCTTCGCTTTCGCCCGTCAACGCATGTTTCATGGCGTCCAACGCCGACGGCGGACTTTGAGGCCTCCCCCGCATCGCCAAAGCTCCCTTCCTCCGTCCCCATCTGCTCTGACGTTTTTCCCGTGGCTTCGTCACTTTCGGGAATTCCCCGGGAATCTCTGCCGCCATTGCCACAGACGTGAAGCCTCGCTTCCGGAGTCCCAGAAGCTCCCGAAAAGCCCCATGGAACCACGTGAGCCCCAGCAGGGCCCACCGCAGAACCCAGTGTGCCCCCGCTGGAGCCCATGGCATGCTTCGGGAGCCCCCCAAGGCATTCACCCCACCAAGCAGCAGAATCGCCCCAAATCCAAGGTTCGCAGCCGATGTCCCGGAAAAAACGTTGTGAACCCGGGATTCCAACTTTTTTGTTGTCTGCATCGCGGCCCAAACCGCTCTCCTTATCAAATTGCCCTTCCGCTTTTCCCAAGCCATACCTTCAGATAAAGCCGCGTCATGCAAAGCTGTCCCCGGGACCCCGACCATTTGTTCGCGCTTTCTCAAGCTTCTCCCATACCTTCGCGATCCAAAAGAGCCTCGGGACGCATCCAGAAACGTTAATGACAGCTTCGGAAACCTCTAGGAGACCCCCCACGCCGCTTCCAAATACCATTCCCAATTTTTTCACGATCCGAATTAATGATGTTTGCCTTCTCGCTTTGTTACTTATGCTGATGCTTGAAGACCGCCCCGAAGTAGCCTCCGGGGGGCCCGATGCGCTTCCAAAAATCTCCGAAACAGCACCAAGGGGAAGTTGAACAGGCCCCCACAAGGCCCCCCACACGTCCCCCCAGGTCTCCACGAAACCCCACCGGGCCCCCACGACGCCCCCAGTAGTTTCAAAAAAACCGCCAATGATCCCCAGGGGTCCCAAAAGGTCGCCCCCCTTTCTACGTGGTTCGTACTGTCTTAGCCTTCGCGCATTGCCAGCTTCGGACACCCCATCAGGTCGCCAGGGCCTCCCCTGACGACCCCCAAACCCGTCCAAGAGGACCTAGACAAATACCCAAAACGACACACGTGGCTCCGAAAGGACCCCTGGGACCGCCACGCGGCCCCACAAATGCGTTCTTCCTCCTCTTCCTCTTCCCCGCCCCCGTCCGCCACACTCGACTTCGTCACCCATCGTCCTCCTTTCCCTTGCTGCATCGCCTGGCTTCGCCGGCAAGTCTCCCGTTCCATGTGGATTTTCTGGTCTCGGTGCCACGCGTGTCGGTGGCTCCGCGCCCACCCGGCTTTGCTCCGCACCTAATCCCATGGAGAGTGTTCCAGACAGAGCTTCGTATTCGAGGACTTCCAAAGTTGTCTTCTCGCCCTCGGCGGAGGCTGGCAAAAGGCCCGCGGAAGCTGGCGGATGTAAGCGGCTATCGCTGTGGCCAGCGCATGCCAGCGGACGTTGGGTTGAACCCCCCGAAAGCCAGTTGGGCTTTCCAAGAGAGGTCGACGCTGACCACCGTAACGTCCTGGGGCTTGCATAGCGGAGTGCATAATCGACGATCGGTGTGCACACATCGATCCATGGGCCCCTCGAGGTCTGCACGCCTCGCCCAGAACAGGCTGCCTGGCGCTCGCAATGAACCCCCACTCGCCCGAGGACCGGATCAGAGTCCTCAGAACTGCTTCTCGGGGTCTCTTCGGAACGCTCTCGGGGGCCTCTGGGGAGCAGTCCAGGGGCTCTTGGGAGCCTCTTGAATGCGCTTGGGACTTCCTGAGGGCCTCTTGGGGGCCTGTTGGAACCTCTTGGGGCCATCCTGGGCTTCTTGGCGCCCCCATGGCATCCTCTCGGGGCTGAGGGCAAATTTTCTCGGACCAGTGGCCACCGCCACAGCCATAAGAACGGGGGGCACGTTTTTCCAGGATCGAGGCTTCGTGAAAGCCTGCAGGAATGCTTTTCCCCTCCCCTGGCAGCGAAGGTCGCCCCAAAACGATTCCACTCCTCCCTCCTTATCCTCCTCCCCTGGTGTAGCCACTTTGGCCCAAGCCCAATGGAGGCCTTCTGGTCTTCCTTTTGGCTCGTGCGCTGCACGCGCCAACTCGTGCGCGACAGCCTTTTCAAAGGCACTTTATCGAAATGCCACCTTCCGCCATTTTGGCGCGACCTGCAGCCGAGCAATGAACTCGTGCCGGGCACGGACGTGCACATGGCAACGCTGAGCCCAGCAGAGTTGAAGGCATTCGTTCTTGGTCTGCATCTCTTCCTGTTCCTCCTCTTCCTCCTCCTCGTCCTTTCCCCCCTCGCTCCTCATATTCCTTATTTTCCTCCTCCCTTTCCTCCCTTCCACATGCCCTTCACGAGGCCCTTCTTCCGGCCATCAACGACTGGCGGTCGGTGTCCGTGTCGTGGGACGACTGGGCTTCGTACAACGACGCCGCAGGAGACGAGACGTCGGGGCAACCGGACATCTTCGTCAAAACCATAGAACACGAAAAGGTGTGCTTGGAGATGGCTGACAAGACGTCGAGAGCAATCACGACCATTCTGGGCCAGGCCCCGTACCAGGCACGCGACTCCCTCGCGCTGGTTATGGAGTTCCTCCACAGCCCAGTGGCCCTGAAGATCTTGCAGGAGAACGTCGAGGACACTGCCACGAAAAAGGGCGTGACCTCCAAGGTGGGCGCCGTGCTCGCCGCGCACACGGGCCACCCGGCAGACTTGGTGGGAACGAGCTTCAACCCGTGGGTCCTCGCCCACTCAAGGTTGAAAAAGTTGTCTGCCCGGAAGGCCCCGGGCCTCGGAAGAATCCCCAGCCATGCGACACTGTTTTTCTATAACAGCATTTGCCTTTCGCAACGACACGGCGGCTGTGTTCCACACTCGTCAGGGGCAGTTTTTCCACGCACGTGTTATTATTATTATTATTATTATTATTTTCCCATGCCCCAGAATTTCCTTCGCCCCCCGTTCGCCCCAGCTCGCGCGGGCCATTCTGACGCCCGCCGCAGGCTGCCTCCGAGCTCAGGAAGATCGCCGCCAATGGCCGGCGATTCCAGGAGGCGGTGAACGAGCTGGAGCACAAGGGCGGCATGGTGGACAAGCTGCTGGCGGCCCCGGCGGGCGAGCTGGCCACCGTGCTTGCAGCAAACCCTGGCTGGCGCAGCTTCCGGGCCAAGAACTTCTTGCGCTTCCGCCAGCCGACGAGTCGGCGCAGCGACCACGGCCGGTGCGCCACCACGCCAGAGGTGGTCCTCGCGGGGTCTGGGCCGCGCCGGGTGCTCTCCCAGCGCCTGGGGGCCACGGCGTGGGTGCCAGGGAAACAGGTCAGGAGCGTAAAAAACACACCATTCACACGCGTTAAATTCCTCCCACCCGCCGTACGTTTAATTCTGAAGGATCTGTTCATACAGATCACGCCTCCCCCGTGCAGGGGGGAACGCGCGAATTGGCGCGAACCCGGATCAGCGCCCACTGGAGAAAAAGCCCCTCGCGCAGCAATGTAGACCCGAATAGCAGTCATATTTTTTGGCGTGTTTTTTTCTGCTCCGTCGAAGGGCCGGCGCGTCCGGAAGGTGGCCGCCCTGGAGAGCAGCACCGCCGGCGCCCTTCAGCTCTGGCCCGCCCTGCTGCGACAGTGCGCTGGCGAGCGGGCCAAGGCGCTGGCGGCGGCGCGCAAGCTGGCCACGAAGCGCCACGAGACCCCTGCGCTGGAGCGCCTGCTGAAGTGGGCGGACAAAGCGCTGCTCCCGGACTACGGGATGCAGTTCGCTTTCTGCGAGGAGAGCCAGCTGCTCTCCCGGCTCGCAGGCCCGGCCCCCCCAGACGAGGAGGCCGGCGACGAGAGCGACGTGGCGGCGGGCGACGACAGCGATGCCGAGGTCGCTGCTGGGCCGGCCGCTGGCGGCGCGTAGGCCACGCGGGCCCTGGGCTGCGGCTGCCGCCCCTGCCTCTGGCCCCCCGCTCTCGGCTTTCGGGCAGAGGCCGCCCGCGGGGTTGGGCGGTTTCTGGAGCGGCGCCTCTCGGTGCGACGCGGACAAATTGCTTTGCCGCTCCCCGACGGCGCCTTCATTATCCCTCTCCCTCCTCCTCTTCCTCCTCATGATCTGGCAGTCCTTGGAGCCGCAGCCCCCTGGTCTGTTTCCATATGTGATCGCAAGGCATCTCCGTTTGCCTCACCCCCATGCGCAAGTCGAGACAGCACGCCGCCCCAATGCGTGCCTTACCTTACCTTACCTCATGAGATTCCTCCCTTCGCCGCGCCTCCCCAAATCGTCCTCCACTTCTTTCCCGCCCCTTCTGTCCGACGTTTTGTATTTCCGGAGCCTCCACGGCCGCTCTCGTCGCCGCTGATCGGTCCGCTGGGGCATTCTCATGGAGTCCCAGTGGCGCGCGGACCAGCAGAGCGAGGGCGCGAGCAAGTAAGGTGCAGGTCCGGGAACTGGGCGCGAACCAACCGCGGTTCAAAGACCGTGGAGGGCCGCGCTAGACGCCAACGCGCGCGAGGGTTGAAGGACCAAGGTGCATGGCGCGAAGCGCCAATGCAGTCTTGTATATATATATATATATATATATATATATAGTCGGGCCCCCTGGGG